TTTTACATATTGACAATATATAATGCAGTGCAGTGTTGATTTAAGAAAATAATCTTGAATTATACCAAGTGAACTAAAATTGTATGGGTGAATTGGCACCATGGGGTGACTTCTCTTCCACCCCAATACCTTCCTTCTCCTCCACCCCCATTCTAATTCCCATCATCATCATCATCATCATCCAGGAGCCTTCTACATACACACCTCAAAGTAAGTGTACTTTACTGCATTTATTTTTAGTTTGTATATAATTTTCGGTGAGTTGAACCAATTACCCAAAAACCCATTGAAACAATGGTTTCGGTTAATGAGTTCACTTGGTGTAATTCAGGATTATTTTCATTAAATCAACATTGCACTGCATTATATATTGTCAATATGTAAAATATATTTAAAAATGACCAATAATTTGACTGGAAACACGAAAGCATTTATGTTGAAGAGTCTCAAACAAGATGTTCCTTCCTCTGAACTGGTAAACAAACTGACGCCAAGCTTGGTGCGTTGAGTGGCTGTTTGCCAAAAAAACTAGTTTGCATCAATTATGTTCAATGGTTGTTAAAATGACTAAAAAATTTAATATAAAACTTTTGAAATTATTGATAGTACAACCTTCTTGATATTTACTAAAATGGTAAGGAATTTAAGCCCTAAAACCGATTACTGTATTGGCGAACTAATACTACAGCTGGTGGACAGCCAAATGCAGGCGAAAACATGTTGGGAAAAATTCGTAAGGCATTCATAACCGAAGTGAAGAATCTTATGGAAGGTAATTCGTTAACTGAGGCGCTCATTAACCGAGGGATCACTGTAGTTTGTATACCAGTACTGTCTATGTATACACAGTAGTTTGTATACCCCAAATTCCTATGTACATAGTTTGTACACCTGCACTAGCTATGTACATAGTTTGTACACCTGCACTAGCTATGTACATAGTTTGTACACCTGCACTAGCTATGTACATAGTTTGTACACCTGCACTAGCGATGTACATACCGTATATACTCGTGTATAGTTCGAGTTTTTAAGACCAAATTTTTTGGCAAAAAATTGGGGGTCGTCCTATACATGCGTAACAGTTTTGTTAGGTTGAACCCGTGCATGATGGGAAGGGCGAGGAGCAACTTTTAGCTTCAGACATGAAAAATATTTACCATTTACTGCCAGTAAACAATGGAAACGTAAAATATGTACCAATTAGTAATGAAAAGTTGTGCAGTTCCTTCAGTAAATGAAGCTCACCAACTTACAATAGGCTAAATTACCTTACAACGTGTTTTCAGTAGTCTATGTTGAAGTTCTTAGCACAGGCTAACTTATCATATCATATACGGTATCACAGTTCTCATTGATCTACAAAAAATACCGGTAATAAAAACCTTTTTGATATTTCACACTTTATATAATACCCAGTAATCTACTTCAACCTCCTATTGTTTACAATGACGCATCACGCACCACCAGCTGTTGAGTATCAGCTAGACGGTACACGTGTTTTTCGAATCGTTTTCAGTAAAAAAACTGTTACATCACACGTATATTTTACCTAAACTGCGCCTAAATGAATATATTCTCGGAAATAAATAGTACAGTAGTTTTGCTGAAACATGATGTATTTTAATGTAAAATAGGATAAAATACATGCCGAAAACAAAAGATTTTACCGAACCTTCCGATATTCAAGAGAAGTTACTCGTTTTTTTAATAGTTTTGGGTTAAAATATTGTGATATTACAATGGTATTCTATTCATACTGTGCTTGATATAATGCATTCACGGAAATGTAATATTTTTGCTGAAATGACGTACATATTACAGTGGAAAGTGGGATAAAATCGTGACGAAAACAATGACTTTCGCTTTCGTTCGTTCAAAAGATGTTACCATAATCGCTTTTCGAATGGTTTTCAGTTAAAAAACTGTTGTATTACAATAATATTCTATCCTAATTGACTTGAATAAATACTACGATACCATATTTCGGAATATTTTCATTAAAATCCATCAAAATAATTTTCCTTGTCTTCGTCTGCAGCACCAAACAACTTCTCCCAGTCCTCTCCTTGAACAGGGCTAGACGGTACACGTGTTTTTCGAATCGTTTACAGTTAAAAACTATTACATCACACGTATATTTTACCTAAACTGCGCCTGAATGAATATATTCTCGGAAATAAATAGTAGTTTTGCTGAAACGTGATGTATTTCAATGTAAAATAGGATAAAATACATGACGAAAACAAAAGACTTTACCTAAGCTTCCGATGTTCTTGAGATGTTACTCGTTTTTTTAATAGTTTTCGGTTAAAATTCTGTTATATTACAATGATATTCTATTCATATTGTGCTTGATATAATGCATTCACGGAAATGTAATATTTTTGCTGAAATTACATACGTATTACAGTGGAAAGTGGGATAAAATCGTGACGAAAACAATGACTTTCACTTTCTTTCGTTCAAAAGATGTTACCGTAATCGCTTTTTGAATGGTTTAGTTAAGAAACTGTTGTATTACAATAATATTCCCTCCTAATTGGCTTGAATAAATACTTGAATGGAAATATACAATAATTTTGTTGAAACTACCCTCGTTTCAGTGTAAAGTGGTGTAAAGTGTCGTGTCGTAATAATAAATGGTAAACAATTTGCCTTCGGCACTCGGTGTTTCGGGCACGGCGAGCCTCAGTTTATAGGACGTAGTGTTTTTACTGAAGGTTTTGTTGTTCCATTACCCTCAAAAACTTGGGTCGACCTATAAACGAGGAATATCATAAATTAACGATTTCTTGGTCAAAAAATCAGGGTCGACCTATACACGAGGGGGGGTTATAGACGAGTATATACTGTAGTTTGTACACCTGCACTAGCTATGAACAGTTACAGACATAATTCCCTGGACACTCTGGCAGTGTCTACCATGTAAGTACAGTGAGTCCCGATAACCAAAGACCCGTTGGCCGCCGATTCGCATAACTGACAATTACATACAAGGGAAATACCCCGCAGGTGTTGTTGATACCCCGGAGATCCGATGATCAGCAGAGCCGACGTGGTGTGATATCTTGCCACCAGAGGGCTCTGTGCACTGCCTCTTGACTTATTGCTGCCACATTTGCTCTTGTTTACACTTACCATGTGTCTCTGACTTTGTGTTATTCAATCATGCTTAAATGCCCCAGTGATAGTTGCTCTTGTGCTGGACAACTTGATGTCATGTAATAAGGCATAGTAAGAGTGGTGATGGACCAGCAGAGATTGGAAGAGACTTGAACTTGCTACCCTAGTCTCTCCCATCCCCAACACAGGTAAACAACAGTCTCAATTTATGCTTTACATTGCTCATTTAAGGCTTATGATGGTTACTATATATGTCTGCTTTATTATCTGGCTTGACAGTGTGCAGTACAGAGATATGTCAAGGGTAGATGAGGAGGGTGGCCAGTCTTTAACCTGTTCTTATGGGATTAATTGCTACTATAACCGTTGATTGACTAACCAACGGCTTTTCACGGTCCCTATATGCAGTGGTTATTAGGTATGCCTGTACTTGATGATCATTAGGTGAAGGATTAGAATTTTAGTGAATAATCTCAGAATTTTCTTTATATTAATGAGTGTTTCTTTTCCATTTTGTGGTTGTGACACAATACTGGAAAGCCTTGAGCTGCAACAGACATGAGTCAGGTGAATCATGGCAACATGGGTCCATAATTACCACAGCAACAATAACATTTGTTCCCTGGTAATGTCTTATTTACACCTTCTTTTTTCTTCTTCAAAACTGTAAAATTAGTGGAAATAAAGTGTTTTAATTAATATAAACTGAACAATATAATTCACCATTGGTTAGGAAGAACACACGGAGACAGATGGCATTGATGTGGGCAGAAGGCCAGAGTAGGTATGAACACAACAAGACATTAATAATGAGAACCTTATCATTTCATTTTCCTCTTTTTTCCTTTAAAATAAAAAAAAAATAAAAAAATGTATATTTTCAATGTATCTGTTAACAGTGTTGGTGGCATGTTAGACTCATCACTGTAGCCACCCCCAGCCCTCTCTCTCCCTCTGGGACTGAGCTGTGAGCTGTTATGTTTTATATCAACTTGTAATTTTGGGTAGACACAGGGTATAAGATTTGTTTTTTTACATGCACACACAGTCTTTCATATGGGATGTGCCAGAAAACAACTTGTATGGTCTAAAACATAAAGGTAATACTGTACAATAAACATTTGTTGGTGCACAAGCAAAAGTTAGCATGGAGAGAGGGTGATAAGGGATTCCAGCTGTTCACTGTGTGTAGTGAAACAATTGCCAAATATCAATGTAGTACTGTATTTACTTTACTTATTAATATTATTTATATTTTCTCCACACATTTATTGGTACAGTATATTGTACTGTACCAGCGATGTCGCCAGAACAATTATTGGTACAGAACACTACAAGGGAATGAGAGATTTCTGGGTAATGAGATGACTCTCAAACAGGTACACTATACACATGTTGGTCACGGCCAGTTCACATTGGTCAGTTATGGAGTGCACGTCTACGGTCTACCGCACCAGCTTTTTTCCACTTTTTTCTCCATCATTGGCCAGTATTTGAACCATTTAGCCTGATAACTCTGGACCATGCACCTAAATCTGGTACTGTACAGAGGTACACACTGTACTTAGAAACATTTAAATTTTGGTTGGGGGCAGATAACGGAAAAGTACCATTGTTTTTTTTTCCCCTCGGGAGAAGGTGTCCCTCATATTTCGTATAATCTCCTAATTTAAAAGGACTACAGTAGTTATTTCAAGTAATGGGAGTATTACTGTATACAACACAAGTATATGCCAGATACTGCCAAGTGTTCAGGGAATTATGTCCACAACTATACACTGTTTTGCTACACTGTCTGTTGTGATTAAAAAAATTCTATCTAAAACAAGAGCCATAAGAAATATAAATGCCATCAACTGTAAGAGCAAACTTACACTGTCTGGAATGTGATCTGTGCAGGTGTTGACTCACATAATCTTTATCTCTGAAACAAAACAAAAGTTACCATTAAGATAATAATAAAACTTACAGTACAGTATATACATCACTCTATGGGAGGAACTTACGACACATAGGGATGCAACAACAGTAGAGGTCATACAACATTAAAGGAACTTCAGGATCATTCTCAACAAAAGAACAATGGAGTTTCAACGAGCCATTTCGACGAGGCTTAAGAACGGCCGAGCCTAACCTAACATAACCACACCTGTAAAGACAAGACAACCTTTATATAACACTTGCCCCTCCCCCCCCAAGTGGTGAGGCTGGGATGAGCAGGTTTTTTAGGCATTAATATTTTACTTTACTTAAGTCTTTTACCTACACATTTATACACTACTGTACAGACTATTGGAGTAAGAAACTGTGTATGGTATTATGCTGCACACACTCACTGATGGATATTAATGAATGATTAATCTATTGACAAGTAAAGATTTGTCTGTTTAATTTTGACCTTTAATATAAACTTACTCCTCTATTGTACTATATTACCACACATAGACGTGGGGTGAAAATAATAATGGAACAACCTGCCAGAGAGAGTTGTGACAGCACCAGACTTGACCAACACTAAAGAAGGTACAGATACATTCAGTACTTGCCAGCAGTGTGTGACAGACACCGCCCAACCAACTAACGAGCCAATTAGTGGTGTACAGGATAAAAGTGTAAGAAATAAAAAATAAAATAAATAAAATGTATATGTAAAGATGTAAGGCCACCCCTCTCTCTCTCTCTCTCTTCCCCTGTTGGTGGAGGGTGTGGAGGGGGTATAATGAGGACGTGGGGGTGTGGCCTTCTATGTGTCACTTAACTTCAGCTTCTCCCTTTGGGCTGACCACAAGTGACCAAACAAATAAATTACAACAACCCTGATCACAACTTTCCTGGATACTGTTGATAAGGAGAAAGATGTTGGTGTTGTGATAGAGTCAGATAGATCAAACACAGCACAACTAGTGAGGGCAGTAGTGAGAGAAGGAAATCGACATTTGGCAATTATAAAGCATACCTTAGAATACAAAGAGAGGAAAAGGCTCATTCAACTGTAGAAATCTCAAGTATATTCCAGTCTGGATTACTGTATACAGGCAGAAAGATCTAACATCTCAAGAAAAGGTGCAACACAGAGCAACTAAGATCATTCCTGAACTGTCATGTCAATTATCCAAGTAGACTTAAGGCCTTAGGACTAACAACCCTTCAGACAAGGCACAATAGGGCAAATCGCATTGAAACTTTCAAAATACAGAAAGGGAAGAAAAACACGAACCCGGGATATTTCTTTGTGACGGCACGCTCCACCAACACGAGGAGACAGAACTACAAGCTCACCAAGCTATCATGCACAATGAATATAAGGAAATACATCTTCACACAGAGGCTGGTAAACATATGGCATGGTCTACCAGCTCAAGATGTGGAATTAAGAACAGTACAGTACTAGGCTTCAAAACAGCCCTTGATAAAATGATCAAGAACAACAGAGGTCCCTACACAGGCTACTGCCCCAACATGGCCACCCACTAGTACATAAGGTAAGTGTATGAATACAAGATATTTTCTTATGCTGTGGATGATCATTTTTTTCCCCCAAGTGACTAAATTAAAATACTGGCGAGTGTCTCCCAGATCAAGACACGATACAGGCACAAAGACTTAACCTAATAATTAACATAAACAATGTAACTCACTCGTCTGAGCTGTCATCCTCCTCAGGGTAATCATTCCTCCAGTTGTTCTCATCATTCTCATCGTCGTCGTCTTCATATTTATCGTCATCGTCAGATAACTCGTGGGTACTTATCAGTATGCTGTAATGACAACAGATTTAGTGATGATAATAATAATAATAATATCTTGTCATAAAGATACAGTAATAATAATACAGTTATTACAGCAGTAGGTACAGCCTTACCTGGAGTGGTTTGTCTTCTTACTTAATATCTATGGAATAATTCTCATTTTTTACTCCTTAATGTTGAAGATGGTAAGTTAAGTCCTGCTCTTCTCATCCCAGTGTGAGGTTTTTAATACTAACAGTACAGCTTATCCAGGGGTTTAATGTTGACATTACTCAACTGTCACTTGCCACCAGTAAGTACTGTATTAGGTTATGAGAAATAATTGATTTTAAGACATCATCCCTACTTCATCATAGAGCCCTTCCTCAGGTTCAGTGACTGACTGTGTGTATTAAGAGGGGGTCAGTCTGGGCACCTAAGACCCAAATATTGTGGTGGTTGTCATGAGGACAGTATCATCAAGTTCAGTTGTAACTCAGCCAACTCTTATACCTTTTACATGTACAGTACACGACTGCAGACCTTGAAGATGTCACCTTGGTACAGTAGCCATCCAGAGGTGGGGCACCATGCTCTTTGTTCCCCATCAACTCTCACTGTCAAACAACCTTAGACTTACCACTTGCTTCCACCTGTTCCTTGTTGGTTTCTTTGCCACTCACGTTTTTTGCAGTTAAATGGATTTAGTTATGACTTACACTGTTAATGTAAAGTTGTTCTTGTGTAGTCAGTAGTCATCTTAGTGATGAGCAACCCATCCTTAATTAAGACGGAGATAAAGAAAAACTTATCTTAAATATGGAACAAACTGGACGGTCTCGCACACACACACTGCTGCTAGTTTGAGCTTCCCATGGAGGGTCATACGAGGTGTGATCCAAACGTTCCCGGACTGGCTTCATAAAACCTTTCTCTTTGCAGATATCGAAATTGAATCATCAGCAGTTGCTCACCTTGGGTGTAAGTTGTTTACTACATTGATTTGGCGGGAATCTGTGGCGCCAACCGACCATAGTGCAGCTTTGTGTGAGTGTGTGCACCGGCCCATCTGCTAAGTAGAGTCAGCCGCCACTCTACCCTCAACATGGAGGGAGGTATTTGCTTCAGACTCTGATAAAAATGGTGCAGAAACCCACAAAATAATCAAAGAAGCCTACAAAGATGAAGCAATGTCCAGGGCTCAAGTTTTCAGGTGGCACAAGAGCTTCAAAGAAAGGTGCACCTCCTTTGAAAATGAGCATTGTTCTGGGTGGCCTTCCACTGAGAGAAATGATGAAAATGTCCAGAAAAATGACCAGCTTGTCCATGAAAATCATAAGGTGACCATCCACAAGATTGCCGAGCGGTTGGACCTCTCATATGGAAATGTTAACCGGATTCGGACTGACGACTGGCAATTGGCCGCTTCACCAGGACAATGCACCTGCGCACACTCTCTCCTCTCTGTCAATGATTATCTGGTGAAGTACAGCATCCCAGTGGTCCCCCACCCTCCAGATCAGGCCCCTGGGAGTTCTGGCTGTTTTCCAAGTTCAAGTTGAACCTCGAAGGGAAGAAGATCATGGACAGAAAGGAGACCCAGGACACATCACAGAAGGTGTTCTTCAACCTCATCAACGAAGACTTCCAGAAGTGGGAGGAGCGGATTCAGTGCTGCATTGAGGCCTCTGAAGAATATTTTGAGGGTGACAAAAAGTTTCACTGTAATATCTTGAGAAATAAAGATTTTATGAAACCAGTCCGGGAACTTTTGGATCACACCTCGTATGTGATCAAGCCAACCCTGTTAGGTTGCAATTCTCTCTCTAATAATACAGAACACTTTTGCTTAACCAGTGTCCCCGTACAGTATGTTAATATCATAGACCTGGGAGTGTTTTTTCCATTCAAATGTTTTACCCTCTATACTGTACAGTACTGTTTAGTTATGACTAGAGATGATGTATTCTTTTATTAAAGTACCTCATATACTGTACTGTACTTCTCCTTTACATTTAAATGCGTCTAAAATGTAACATATTACCGGTACTTTGCTTATAATTAAATTTTACGTGTAGAGTTGTTTATTATGTTACCATGAGGGGAGTGAGGGATCATGGTGTGACAACTTCTCTGTCTCCTGGTCCAGTCTGGTCAGTGCCACACTCTGCTTGTGTACCACATCTTTTCCTCATCCTTAATACAGTACTGTACTGTACTTCATTATTATGGCACTAACTACAAAATATATGAGGGCTGTTTAATAAGTAATGTGTCCATAACTAGCAGGGAAATAATGTGAGGGTGAATGTGTCATAACCTGCATCAAAGAGTTATGAGACAATTTTGACATTCAATCATTTAGTTTTATTTAAGTGTATAAGGTATTGTCTGCTTATGGCCCTAACAAGGACCAGCTAACAATGTTTGGTGGCAGCTTCAGTAACAGCAAGTTGTGTTAAAGGTTTATAACATTTACTCCCTGACCTGAAGAAACACTAAGACCTTCTGACCTAATGTTTTAAGATTAAAACCTAAAACATGTGTGACCACCACATACTGTACCCTTATTACCTACTGTACTGAACTGTCAAGGTCTAAGAAACACTCACCATAGTTGTCTCTCTGCCTTCCTTCAGTGCTCAGTATAATAATGGTGTATATGCCTTTATAATGCTCCAAATTAATGTTAATTACTAAAAATATTATTATATAAATAAACTTTAATAAAAGAACTAAAATTACAATATTTTTATTAGTAGTACAGTACAGTACAGTACAGTACATTACAGTACAGTACAGTACGGTACGGTACAGTACGGTACGGTACGGTGCAGTACAGTACGGTACGGTACGGTACGGTACGGTACGGTACGGTACGGTACAGTACAGTACAGTACAGTACGGTGCAGTACAGTACGGTACATTACGGTACGGTATGGTACAGTACAGTACGGTACGGTACAGTACAGTACAGTACGGTACAGTACAGTACGGTACAGTACGGTACAGTACTGTACGGTACAGTACAGTACAGTACAGTACGGTACGGTACAGTACAATACAGTACAGTACGGTACAGTACGGTACGGAAAGGTACCGTACCGTACGGTATCATACAGTACAGTATGGTACAGTAAGGTACGGTAAGATACAGTACTGTACGGTACGGTACAGTACACCCTGTGGTGCGATGAGTCACATTGTGGCACATCTTATCCAAAATGTTTTAACAATAACACATTTAATTGTGCCCCTAAGTTTTAAATCTCCTTAATATATATTTTCTTAAATATAGATTTATCTTTAATATATAAGGTTAGGTTAGTTTTCACTTTCCCTCAAAAAAAAAATGTCATTTGACATAAAAAATACACCTGACCTAATACTACCTTGGTTTCCAGCACTGGGAGTCATACTGTGATTTGGTTCAAATTTCATACAGTTACAGTACTATTTTACATGGGTCTAAATAGTCATAAAATGGGAACTTGGGGTTGGTCTTGGATGCCTGGAACCATAACTTTCGTTATGACGCACTCGGCGGGGTGATAACCAAGGGATGACTGAACAGTACAGAGTAGTTTCAGTAAAATGTACTGTACCAACATGCCAGTTCACATCAAGCTGAGCTACAGGTTGTACCTCTCTAGTCCGGCAACCTCGGGACCTGACCGGTGCCGGACCATGGAAATTCACCCTTTTCCTGGATAGATAGTGACTTGTGCTTATGCTTGGAAGCACTAGCACCACTTTCTCTGCATCATGGTCTCTTTGAAGACATATTGAAGGGTTAAATGTCGTATAGTAGCTTCTCAAATTTCGCGAGTTTTTAATTCAACGTATTTTATTGGAACACAAAAAAAAATAAAAATTTTGACGGCGGAAACTTGAAGTTCGACGGGTTTGAACGGCCCGCCAACGTGCAGACGACGTGCATAATCGTGTAAACAGCGTCATTTCTCTTATGTACAAAAGATTCATTATTGTTTATTGCTGAATGTCTTTTTTATTGAATTAATGTTTATGTGTGCAAAATGAGCAATACAATTCATTAATAACACGTAGAATATTAAAACACACGAGGAAATGACACAGCATTGTTTTTGTTGATTACAAAACCAGTGACTGACTGGTTCTACATATAAAACTGAAGAAAATAAGACCTTGGTTGTAGCTGTAGTAAAATTAATATAGTTGTTTTAAGCAATGTTATTTAATGTTAATAAATGGAACAATAGAAGTAGCTAACGATAATGGTAAAGAAAAAAGAGAGATCGCGTATGTAAGTGCGCACACGTGAAAACATATCATCATTACTTTACATAAGAATATGAAAACAACACTTATTTACTGTTCATATATATTTTAATTAATGTATCTGAATTTGTTTATATTGAATTAATGTTTGTGTGTGCAAAATTAACAATACAATTTATTAATAATACGTGGAATATTAGAGGAGACGAGACGGCTGCCGGCATTGTTTATGTTAAAGCTTACAAAACCAGTGACTGATTGGTTCTACATATAAAACTGAAGAAAATAAGACTCTGATTGTAGCTGTAGTAAAATTACTGTAAAAAAATTAATATGGTTGTTTGAAGTACCTGTAATGTTATTTAATGTAATAAATGGAACAATATAAGTAGCTAACCATTAATGGTAAAAAAAAAAAGTGAGACTGCGTGTATGTTAGTGCGAACATGTGAAAACATATCGTCATTACTCTACATAAGAATATGAAAGCAACACTTATTTACTGCCTCATATATATTGAAGGGTTAAATGTTGTACTCTGTATAGACAAGCAGAGAGAGAGAGAGAGAGAGAGAGAGCAGCTGAACTGCTGGATGTCTACAGACCTTAATTTCCGGCTTTTTTTGGATTAGCCCACCGGGCATAGGTCACTGACCCACATTGGGGCCTGAGGGACAAAAATTTAATACTCCTGTAATAATAATAATAATAATAATTCAGATAAGGAGAAAAAAAGAAGAAGAAGAAGAAAAAAAAAAAAAGCTGCCTATTGGACAAACTGAAATCGTTCCGGACCACAGAATGCCGGACTAGAGAGGTACAACCTGTATTAGCAAATATAAGATACTCTTGGAACATGAAAAAAATAAGGCAAATTCACCTTCTTTGTTATACAAAAACTTGGACATGATACTTTTTCTTTTTACTTTTATCCTCTTCACTACCGATTGGCTCGTTAGCTGCTTGGGCAGTCGGCTACTGCAGTCTCTGTTACATATTGTTAGCAGTATTGGGCATGCACTGGGTCCAGGATGTATCTGTCTGACTTCTGACTCTATAACACTGTTCAAGTGCCAAGATAGTGAGGCACATTATACTTAGTTCCTTTTAAGAGTTGTAGTAAACAGGGAGATGTGTAATGAGCTTTGAACAGCAGCTCAAGCTGAGGTTTCAAACCTAGAGTGATACCATTGGTGAGCCTTAAATGTCACGAGTAGTGTGGGCAGATGCTACACTCACCTATACAATACAGGACCTAAAGTGGTGGCTTCTGTTAAATGATTTATGATAGTTTTATATCATAATAGTTCTTGTGTTACAAGTCATGCAAAATCAAATAAATATTGTACAGTATAACTATTACTCATCAGTGCTTGAGCAACAACCCTGACAAGTCTTAAGAAACTTTTGGAAAAAATAAAGGAGTTGATTACTACTAAAAACCATAGACCCTCAGACCCTCCTGTTGACAGACAAACACACATAAAATAATATAACACAGGAGAGCTCTCTGGCACTAGCTGGCAGGGCATAATAAATAGTAATGGAAGATTGATAAGAATAACAATAGTTCATCACAGTTGAGTACTCACTCGCACACATATTTCATCCAGTCAACGTCATGTGGCCAGTAGTAGATGTCATACACAAACTTCTCAGTCTCCATGGGGACCCCATTACATGTTATCACATCAGAAACCTGAAAAAAATGTGCACAATTTATATTTTTGTTGAAGTAGGGTTAGGGTAGGTTAGGTTAAGTAAGGCTAGGTTAGGTTAAGTAAGGCAAGGTTAGGTAAGGTAAGGGGAGGTTAGAAAACTTAGCTTCTTGTTCAGTGGGGATCCAAACACAGGTCTCAGAATCCACAACATACAGTATTTACCAGATGCTATATCACAACAGGTCTAGTGTAGTTCTCATAGGCCAAATGTTTACTACTACAGGCTAAACAGATGTACCACTGCACTTACTCACCATATCATTCATCCCCACAGCTTAAAAGTTGTAAGTAGGTTGTGAAAATATAATTCATTTGTTATTATGTGTTACTGTATTGTACTGCCCTAGTGAGAGAGATAACGATGACCCTTAACTCTACAGTAAGCCACACTAATGAACACACACTTAGCAATTTTCACTCTTGTACTTTCAGAAACTTATAAAATACATCCAGACAAAAACACACATACATAACCTACACATATTTGAGTTCCCAGTACCCCATGTCATAAGTTCCCGGTACCTCATGTCATATTAATGGTACCTCATGTCATATTAATGGTACCTCATGTCTCAATAATGGTACCTCACGTCTCAATAATGGTACCTCACGTCTCAATAATGGTACCTCACGTCTCAATAATGGTACCTCACACCTCATTAATGGTACCTCACACCTCATTAATGGTACCTCACGTCACAATGGTACACCTCACCTAACCTAAATCTATTTTCCAGGTCAGGTACAATATCTCACCTTCTTGGAGGACAATTCAGTATCATAATACTTTATGTCCTCCACAGTTGACAGAGGAGGAGGAGCACAGTTGGCTCCTTCATCCTTCTCTTCTTCTCTGCCTCTCTTCTGCTGTTGATCTTTTCCTTTATCTTCAGGTTTTACTTTCATAGCACAGTTGGCTCCTTCATCCTTCTCTCCTTCTCTGCCTCTCTTCTGCTGTTGATCTTTTCCTTTATCTTCAGGTATTATTCTTGTGATGATATTTAGACTTAAAGTCGGTCGGTGAGAAGCATGAGCCTGGGTGAAGGGATGATGTTAGTTAATACACAAGACCATTATCTTATACCAAGGCTAAAATTATTTTAATGTACTTCCACGATGATTGTATACTGTCAACAACAACAACACACACGTCAAAGTGGTTAAATAAAGTTCAATAAAGGTTTCCCACATTTTCATATACTGTAGTAGGATTCCTGAACAGTATTACAGTGATCCCTTGGTTAACGAACACAATTCGTTCCAGAGTCGTTCAATAACCGAATCCATTACAGTGTTTCAATGGGATATTGGGTAATTGGTTCCAGCTCACAGAAAAGTACATACAAAGTAAAGCCAAAAACACGTGATGTCAGAAACACGAGGATCCATATATATTTCATTAGCCCAATAAAGCACGCGGACTTCTACATACAATCAACACCTCAACCCGTGTTTCGAAGCCGGATTTGGTAAAACGTTACTCTGACCACCTATGTGATACGGGTGGTCCCCATTAGAGGTTCACGGCGCCATAAGCTCGTTGAACAGGCTTTGTGTGAAATATAACAAAGTCTAGGACTGCTTTTAGTATCCTGGTGGTCCAGCGGTTAGCGTTCCCCGGTCACAGTCATAGGCTTGTGGGCCGTGGGTTCGAATCCTGGCGGGTTGAGGTGTTGATTGTATATATATATATATATATATATATATATATATATATATATATATATATATATATATATATATATATATATATATATATATATATATATATATATATATATATATAAATATATATATATATATATTGCAAATTATATTCTCCTAACTTTAGTCTGTGATATTATACCAGGTATATAAGATACAAACTGTAACCCTAAAACCCTGGCTGGGCAGATGGGGGAGAGGGAGCAGGAGGTGAGGTGATATGTTTGACAGTTGGTGCCAAGGTCTAATGTGTGTTTACAGCTATTCCTCGACTTACGACCACCCGAACATACAACCGCCCCAGTCATACCAATTTTTTTTCAAATTACGTATTTTCGAGTCCTGACGTTAGTGATTGCGCTGTGTACTGACAAAATTTTTGTTTGTATTCCCTTTAAAAAGGCTGGCAAGCGCCAAAGGTCTGGTGAAGTATTTACCTGTATTTGTTTATTTATGACCTTTACATTGAATTTTTGTTTTTTGATTATAAAATGTCAAAGAAATGACCGGAGAAAATATAATTTACATTGCTGGAATTCTTATAAGATAGTGATTAATTTGAATATAAACATGCTATAGTTTGCACTAGACAAAAATTTTAGTAATCATTTTGTACATTACATTATTTTGAATACATGTACAATTCAGCTTTGCCCTTAGGACAGTGTGTGCATGTAAACGAGTTTCAATAAATTAATAAAGTTACATATATCGAGCCAAAAATAATAGTTGAAAAACTTGGATGGCTAAATTTTAGAATGACCCAAAATTTTAATATAAAAATGCAAAAATATTCAAGAACACAACCTTCTTGATATTTACTCCGCTGGAAACGAATTGAAGATCCTTATGGGAGATAATTCGTTAACCGAAATTTCGTCAATCAAACCGTTCGTTAACCGAGGGTCCACTGTACATCTCTCAGAACTATGTGTAAAGATACCGTACAGTAACTATTTCATCAGACACAATTATGTAACTGGGTAAAAATTGGGTCCCAAAATATGCACCAAAATTTCCCTCATGTCTGTAAATCTACTGAAAAGACTGAAAGTGAGGTAGTATAACACAGTCTAAGGAAAGACATGTGAATATAATTTTTTTTTTAACATGTGAATTTAATTTTTTTTTAAAGATAAAAAAATTGCCCCCAAAATTTTAACAACATTTACAGCATTCATCCTTTCACATGTAAATTACTGGAGTTGTGGCAACACTGGTCTTCATAGTTGAATATTCCTACAAATATTTACTGAAATGTGGCTCTCAACTCATAACACAGGTACGTACAGTATTGTACTGCACTGTGCTGTCATCAACAAATAAAGTCCTCTCACTTCTCCTGCTACTTCGTGAACCCTGAAATCCAGACTCATGAACCCAAAGCAGCAGACGCCGATGCATAATTCTGTCCATAAACGTTTCGGATTCACGAGACTGAATCTTGGGGTTCGTGGATCAACAGGAGAGGCAACACGACTTTTGCTCACGACTATACAGTACTAAAATAACTACTGCTGCTGCTGCTGCTAGAAATACTGTAGTTATTGTTATTACAGTGGTCCCTCGGTTAACGAGCACAATCCGTTCCAGCTCACCGAAAATTGCCTAAAGTCAACAAAAAAGGTAGAAAAGTACACTTACTTTGAGGTGTGTATGTAGAAGGTTCCTGGATGATGATGATGATAGGAATTAGAATGGGGGTGGAGGAGAAGGGACAAGAGAAGGCATTGGGGTGGAAGAGAAGTCACCCCATGGCACCATTTCACCCATAAAATTTTAGTTCTCTTGGTGTATTTCAAGATTATTTTCTTTAAATCAACACTGCACTGCATTATATATTGTCAATATGTAAAATAAATTTCAAAATGACCAATAATTTGCTTGCAAACACAGAAAAAAAGCGTTTAGTTGAAGAGAGTCTCGAGCAAGATGTTACCTCCACTGACAAGAGAGAGAGACTTACGCCTGTTTGATGTGTTAACAGGCTGGATGGCGCGCCAGAAACTAGTTTCTTTACCTTCACTTATGTTCAATAATTGTTAAAATGACTAAAAAAGTTAATATTAAACTTTTAAAATTATTGAATAGTATAAACTTCTTGATATTTACTAAAATAGTAAGGAATTTAAGCCCTAAAACCGATTACTGTATTGGCAGACTAATACTACAGTTGGTGGACCGCCAAATGCAAGCGAAAACATGTTGAAGTCAGCTCGTAAAAACTCGTTAATCGAGTGATTGCTCGTTAACCGAAGTTAAGAGTCTTATGGAAGGTAAATCGTTAACCGAGGGATCACTGTATTATTATGAAAACAGCAAACACTTGTAACTTGTCTGAGTACAACAATCCCACTTACAGTTTACCCAATATATTGTAGTTTTAATAGTGTACTAACAAAATAACAGTACAGTACAGTACACCCTTCCAATGTACAACTGTTACATGAGGCAACACAACACCATTAATATGTTTAACACAACAACAATACAGTACAGTATTTTATGACCCTAATATATATGGCATTTTAAGTGTCCCTACAAATGAATCCCTGTCTATGTATTAGTGAAGGAATGTTGAGAAGTTATAACCCAAATAATAAAACAGACAGACAACTCTATATGGTACTATTATATACATCACACATTAAAACAATAATAATAAATGACGGGGTACTCACTTCTTCCCGCTTGTTCTTAATTCTCTGTTTGGTTTCACGCCTGGCAGCATCTCGATGTGCCCCAACCTTGTCCAGTCTCTTGTACTGCTCTCGTAGCTGCCAGCCTTTCTTGAATTCCTTCTGTAATTCCTTCAGTACTTCTGGCTCCAAATGTTCCTCCTGAAAATTGTAAAAATAAAATATTGATACAAGTCATGGTGATGTGCGGTCAACCTTCAACAACTGCATTAGAGGCACAAATTTAACACAGTACTGCACCTACTGTATATATTTACTCCTTGATTCAGCCCAACATAATTGAGAAAGGAGTCACACACACACACACACACACACTTGTCAACCATCAGTGAGACGAGACGTGCCCTGAAGGCGCTCCGGGTTTTGGCAGCCAGGCCGAGTCTGTTTGCTCCCCCCCCCCACCTCCCCATGCTATATCCCAACGCCCTACCAGCCTTACTACACCAGGACTTATTCAGCAAAACATTCAAGTGATCAGTGCAATAATTAATTACCAAGCAGTGTTCCTATAGTGCATCCCAAGGAAAAGCACAAAAACACAGCAGTGTTATCTCGCGACTTAAGTTACTGAACATATTCCATGCGCGCAGCCGTAGACAGGGGCGTCATAAACAAAAGCCCATTAGGGCCATAACCTCCACTAGGAAACCAAAGAAACTCACCCCTGACAGACCGTACCATTACACTGAAGTCCACTGATATGGTCTAATCTCCCGTCTTTACTGCTCTCCAACATCACTTCCCTGGCTAACAAGTTTGATGAGCTGGCAACCACAGTCAGGTCAGTCGCCACGAGCGTCGTTGCCATATGTGAGGCTTGGCAAATTGTTCCGGAAACGTGTCATATTGAGGGATATCAACTCTTTCGTCACCTTCTTTCACATGGACGCGGAGGGGGCGTTGCCTTCTTCTGCCAAAATGACCAACGCCTGTCATGCTTGGATGTTCAAGTCCCAGCAGATGTGGAGGCATTATGGGTACGTGTTATGCCACGGGCCCACCCGCGCCACACTGCCTCTATCATAATCTGTGTGTCATACCATCCGCCTCGCTCGCCCACCAGAGACACTCTTATCAATCATCTCATTACCACCTCAGAGTCAGGTACCCATGTGCCAAGTTAGTATTATGTGGGGATTATAATGAAATTGACACCACTGATATCCAGGACCAGCTGTCACTATCACAAGCTGTGAACTTCCCCACACATGTCAAAATACCCTTGACCTTATCTTAACTGACTTAGCGGACCAGTACCAACCACCTCAACCAATGCCTCCTATTGGGTGTAGCACACACTTATCAGTGCTCTGGTCCCCTGCTGCCACTACCAGCCAAGTACAGAGACCCTACATCAAGACCTACAGGCCGATTACTGACTGCAGTGCGCCTCTTCGGGTAGTGGATAGTTCACCATCCCTGGACTGAAGTACTTAGCGTGGATGACGTGGACACCAAATGGATAAATTATACCAACACCACCACGGAAGCTCACCACCACTTCTTCCCCGAGAAGTCCGTCAGATCTCACCCAGCTGACTTGCCCTGGATCACACCTCGGATCAAAAGACTTATGCAACAGAGAGACAGAGCCTTTTATCTCAATGACCACAACCGCTACAGGTCCCTTCGCAACTGAGTCATCCGCGAAATGCGCACTGTTAAGAAGTCTCACTACCCAACCAAATTGCAACACCTGAAGCAGACCAACATCAGTCAATGGTATGGTAAGCTTAAAGAACTCTGTGGACTAAACAATAAGACACACCCCCTCCCCTTCCTTAGCCATCTCACTAATGTTGACGCAGCTGAGCAATCAAATAACCATTTCGCTACTATATGCCAGACGCTCCCCCGGCTTGACAAAACCACTCTCCCTGCTTACCTACCAGCCTCCCTTCCCACTGACTTAGAAGAAGAATTTGAAGTAGCAAAACGTCTGGACAAACTGAAGTTAAAATGCTCCACCACCCCCATTGACTTACCAATGAAACTCTTCAAGGAGTTCTCCCCGGAGCTTGCTAAACCCCTATGCTCCATCAGCAATGCTTCCCTCAGTCAAGCCAGATGCCCAGCTGACTGGAATACTCCTTATGTGTCACCAGTGCCCAAGTCAACCAGCCCACAATCCTGAAATCAACTATGACCCATTGCAATCACCCCAATACCCAGCTTAATCTGTGAAAGTTTTGTGTTCGACTGGGCTTATGCTGATATTGCAGGAGTCGTAGACCCTCAGCAATTTGGTAATATGAAAACTTCCTCCACCACTCAATGTCTTGTCAGCTTTCTTGACGACATATACCGCCATCTGGAGAAAAAAATGTCTGTAGCAGTCGCCTTCACTGACTTCACTAAAGCATTCGACCTAGTCGACCACAACTTAGTCATCAACAAAGCCATCGACCGACGCCAAGCTGTACGCTTCCGAGGGGCTGTCTCCAACTTTCAGTCACTCACCTATGGCGTACCCCAAGGCACCAAGATGGGACCACTATGCTTCCTTATGCTTATCAATGATGCCCTAAGAGAAACCACCACTCGCTGGAAATATGTCGACGACTCCACCATTGGGATCAGCGTCAACAATTCTACTCCCAACTATACCGCCCTTCAGGATTTATTGAACAGTCTCCAAAACTGGGCCGCCAACAACCACGTCACCATCAACCGTACCAAGACCATGGTTATGCACATCAACCTCTCCTCCGACATTGTCCCACCCCCTTCCATTACTTTAGGTCCCAACACACTCCAGGCTGTAGATTCCACTAAGCTCCTCGGCGTCACCATAGACAACACACTAAATTGGAAACCACATGTCAGTGAAGTTGTCAAATCATCCAGTTTCCGTCTCCACCTCCTCCGCCGACTCAAGTCCCTCGGAGTTCCTGCATCCGAGCTCCTCAGTGTTTACTCAACATTCATACTTCCCAAGCTCACCTATGCCTCCCCTACCTGGTCTTCCTCCCTAAATGCCACACAATGCAAACACCTAGAAAAAGTACAAAAGAGGGCATGCAAGATTATTCTCTCCCCTTCCTACTCCACATATCAAGAAGCGCTCAACACACTGACCCTCTCGGCTCTCTCCGATCATCACCGTGACCTCATCTGCAAATTTGGTTTGAAGCTTCTGCACCATCCTCGACACCGGCTCCTACTACCACCTGAGATCCCTCGCCCGAGAATTGCTGTTCGACACCACAACCGCATCCAGCCCATACAAGCACGAACTGATCACTATAAGAACAGCCAAGTCCCAACCATTGTAAAAATTACCCTACACACACACACACCCTTCATAAACACAAACGCACACACACCCGACACAAACACACACACACACACCCTACATAAACACAAACACACTGTTTATGTCCCAATTCGACCTTTTAAATGTTAGAGTAACATGACTCGTACTAGATCATGACTCACTGCTACCTCCTCCATCACAACACAGACCAAAGAGCGAATACTGTATACTACTGTACAGTATATGTAAAGAGAACCTCAGTACAGGGGGCCCCTAAATTTGCAGATTTGTATTTCGCGATCCTCTATTATTCGCGGATGACACCCTGGATGTACCCAAGAATGTCTGTGGGTAGTTTTAAAGTTGCCGGCATTTTTGCGGCTGGGACAGGGAGCCATTCGTTCTAGAGACAATAATTTCCTTTACCTGTATAGTCTATATATATGTATGGTGTGTGTGTGTGTGTGTGTGTGTGTGTGTGTGTGTGTGTAGACACACACACACAAAACACATACAAATTAATAATATAATGGGAAAATCCTCTCACAAATAATTAGAAACAAATTTATTAAAAATGAGATAGTCTACCCTCAAGTCCGTACTTAATAAATAAAGCACGGACTTGAGGGTAGACGGTAAAAATTGTAATAAATATATTCTGATTATTTGTGAGAGTATTTTCCCATTATTATTTATTTGTATATACAATACAGGTAAAAGAAATAATTGTCCTAAGGGTAAACACAAAGGGAATGCAGTAAACATTTCATTGTACACAAGTAAAAATGTCCCCCCTCCTCCCCGGTTAGCAAATGTTATTCGCGGCCATTTTGGGAACCTAACTCCCGCGAATTTGGGGGACCTATATATTGTTAACCAGACCTGTACACTGTACGTTGAGGGTTTGTTGTACGGTGTTGATGAGTCACAATGGCACTTTCTTCCCTCAGCCTCACAAACCTTTCTCCACCAAGATGCAGGGAGGTAACAAAGGCTCTCTATTTATTTGTCATTATGTGTGTCCTCTGTTACTGTTAAAGCCACTGTGTTCTGTACCGGTGATCCCACTAAATATCCACGTCTGCTTTATCCCTGACACGGCACACAACCCGGTGTTACCCGTCAGCAGCATATCCAGTCCCCTACTACACTGCCTCCAAGCTTACAATAACCTAACATGAACCTTTTGGGGATTACTGTACGTTTAGGCACCAAACTTATTTCCTGTGATGATCAAGCACCCTAACCTAACCCCTCCAGGTAAGTATCAGGGTGTTTAATCATCAGGTAATAAATATAGGAGTGTCTTACCATCAGGTGATCCTACTTTCAATTGAGGGTTTTCTTGAACTGGTCACCACTTAAGATTATTTCTAACCTTAATTCACCCCAGAAAATTATTATTAGTATCTTAATTAATCTCTAAATACATTTGTCTTTTCTCTCTCATTCAACAGTAGCTGTAGTTTGTCCTAACCTTTAATGGCTGTTAACCACTTTGGTACTTTTCCCTGTACAAACTCTTGTCAACTTGTGGTAAATATGAACACTTGTAAGCCTTAAGGAACACATATTTACTCTAGTGTATCTAAACTCAGTGATGGCCAAAATACATCATTACTCTATATACATTAATATTTGATGGCCATTTCCCTCTTCCCATGTCACCCTTGGCCTGCCTCGGACTCTTCTTCCCTCCACATTAAGGCTCATGCATCTCTTAACACAACTGGTATAATTTATTCTCTCCACTTGCCCAAATCATCAGCCAGCGTCTACACAGTACAGTACCGGTACTTGTTAATCCCCACCCACCCTCTCAGCTGTCAACAGGGCCTCTTGTCTCCTATTAGTCAGCCACCTCACCACTGTCATCTCAGCTTACCTTGGAGCTTACTGTTGCAACTCTCTTTAGAATTGTTGGAGTGAAGATGTCTCCTGAGGTCTCGGCTGCTTCGTCCTCAATCCGTCGACGTTTGGATTTCACAACAATACTGTCTGTCGGATCTTCGTTAAATAGACGTTTGATACGTATCAACGTAGCCATCCTTATATGTTCTCCCTGAAACATACATATACTGTAGTCAGCAGTTTTACCTCAACCTGTATAGTTCATACTGTACTGTACTACACAAGGAAAAATTTATAATGATTCAGTATAAAGTACAGTACCTCACACAGCTGAATTCATTGTGACAAATTCCTATACTGTGTGTTTCAAAATTAGACAAGAGTAATGTTTTTAACTCTTTAATGACAGCAACTGTAAATAAATGAGGAGTGCCTTCTGTCCCTTGTGACGGTGATCCCCTTTTTTTATGGGGAACATCCTACCCGGGCACAGTCACCGACCCACTACGGGGCCGGGGGGAGGGGGATATAAGAGTAAAATTAAATAAAAAATAGAAAAGAAAAAGATTACAGTATATAAATCCACACCACGAAGATGCCGAAAAACCAGCTATTTAAAGCAAGACGGATTGTATGAATATGGAAACACAGAAGAAGGTAGAGCATTCCACAGTTTGGATGTGTGAGGAAAGAGGATGTACAGTACTATAACGGGTTATTCAAGTGTGACTGACATCCACAGAGAAATGGTGGGCACCGCAGGCAAGATGTGTGTTACGAGCCCACGGCCTTGCCGGCGGTACACAGGATGCCAAATCCACCAAACATGCCCGTTAAAGTATCCGTCAAAGAGAAAGAGTAAAGAAACATTTCGGCGAAGACAAAGGGAAGAGAGATTAAGATAGCAAAGGAGGCAAAGTCAAACCTCAAGGGATTCTATCAAATGTATCAAACTAAAACAACGGAGAAATGAGCAATAATCTGAATAAATACTTTTCAACAGTTTTCACCACCAAAAATTTAAACATGATACCCGAGGCACCGACTCTATACAAAGATAGTGAAGAAACAAATTAAGCGAGATAGTAGTGACTAGTAACGATGTTAGTAAGCAAATAGACAAACTGAAGCCTAACAAGTCACCAGGTCCTGATGAGATATTTGCCAGAGTATTAAAGGAATGTAAGGAAGAGCTTAGTATGCCCTTAGCAAAATTGCTAGAGGTCTGGAAGTGGCTAACCACCAGAAGGAATTGTCCGAATTGGTTGAAATTTTGTCTCCACATAAATATCATATTAACCACAAAAATGGAAATGACAATGCATAGAACCTAATAGAACTTGACCATTGTTTTTATTTACTCTATCCTGCTTCACAATTCTCCTCCCGGTGCCATTTATGTTGTTTACCTCGCTGCATCCCTCTTCAAGAAACGTTTCCTATAAATGATGGTGAACGCTTCCACGAATTCCTCCTCACCATTGCTGATGTATATCAGCCTCAATATTAAGCTAAGTTGTTTAACACATAAATTAACACAATAATGTATAGAACCTGACCTAACATACCCATAGTTGGGTATGTTAGGTCAGGTTCTATTAGGTTCTATACATTGTCGTTTCCATTTTTGTTTAATATCATGATATTAGTGTGTAGAAAAAATAGAAACCAATTCGGACAATTCCTGTTGGTGGTCACCCTCTTCTGCACCTTTACCACAGTCATTAAAAATGGGTGTAGTATCAAAATCCTGGCGGATAGCGAATGTAATATGATTTTCAAGAAGGGAGAAAGATCACTATCCTCTAACTACCGTCCAATCAGTTTAACATCAATTGTAGGCAAATTGCTGGAAGCAATAATTTCAAACCCTATTCGAAATCACCTGGAGAAGCACAAGTTACAAATGTGAATCATGGTTCATTGATCAAGTTCTACTAACATAAACTCATAAAATTCGTCCTTATCAACTGAAACCTAGGTACTGTATCTCAAACTCACTCCTGAACCTCTAGTCAGCTACTTGTTTGAAGAGTGCAAGGTGGGCTGAGTTAGTAATGTGTGGGCCGAGTTGGAGGTACACCAGGTTAGGTTAAGTTAGGTTAGGTTAGGTCAGATTAGTTTGAAATTATGGTTGGGTCAGGTTGAGTTGAAATTATGGTTAGGTTATATTTAAATTGTGTTTTTCCGGTGGTTTTTGTGCTTTAAACAACTTCCAATTCGATTGAAGTAATTTTTTTTACCTAAAGTGTTCCTCTTAAACTACCGCACTTAAAATCACCAAAAAACAAGTAAAAAAAAAAGATAAACCACCAAAACAAGTAAAGAATCATAACTAATGGTAAAGATGCATGAAAGCACTACCACCAGAAGTTGTTTGTTGATTTTCTTTATTTTTACTCTACTTATTGTTTTGATGATTTAAGTATATTAAAAGAAACAACTTTATATTATAATTTTAAGTAATTTTTAGGATTCCAGGTTTTGGTGGAGGTCAACATTTCCTCCTAGTCACTGCTGCTGTCAACCTCAATATTAAGGCAACTTGTTTAAGATTTTCTATTAGCATGATAAAAAAATTAACACTATAATGCATAGAACCTGATCTAACACACCCTTAGGTTAGGTTCTATTCATTGTCATTTCTATTTCAGTGTTTAATATAATACTAATTGTGTGCAAATTTTGTTAAACCAAATCGTTTACTGGTGGTTGTAGTTCCTATAAAATTACCACCAAAAATATATAAACCACATTGAACAAAACTTAACCAAGAGTTTAAATTATTACATCATTTATCATCATCAAGACAACGTTTGGTCCCTCACATTACATTAAGGTTATTACTCTCCCTCATAACATATTAATGAGCCGGGGTTTAGTACATGACACTTACTACTGTAGTAATAAAGTCACTATAATGGATTAATGGAGTTCTTCAGCTCCTCCAGCACCGCCACTCTGTCCCGGCCAGTATTGCCAACTGATAATTTCACAAGGCGCTAGATTCACTCCCCAAAAAGCGCTAAACTTATAAAATTAGTTAATAAAAAGTGCTAGGAATTAGTTATGGTAAATTATATAAATATTATTAGCACAATTGATTTTATACTATTCACCATTATTCCAGATCTACTAATTCCCACTCCACAATCTCCTCCTGGATGTCTTTATCTTGTCCTTCCTTGGTCACTCACAGGTCGTTGCAGTTCATGTGAGGATCCTGGTTGTGGTTAAGATATGTCTTTAATGACCTAATGGTTTTCAACACTTCCTTAGACAGTTTATAACTATAACAACAACTTCCATACCTTCTAAGTCAATACTTGATAGTCTTGCAAATAAACTTTTGATGCTAAATCTGTTTCAAAGTTTTGACTTTACAATATTCATATGACTAAAGATGTGGAATCAGTGTAGTGGCTTCCTCCCCTACAAACACTTTTGTCGCTCAGTAGCCGACCCCGCGAATTCCCCAGTGTGTGCCTCGTGGTCTAGGTCAACCAGTGCCGCCTTACATGACGGAGGTCAACTACTAAGCCACGCCTACCTCCGCTATATAAGACCTGACCTCGTGGTGACCTGTCTCTCTCTTTCTACCTACACCAACCAACACCTCCTCCACTCCTGCCTGGCGGTCCTCGTTCCCGCCGGCGAGCATGGCGACCCACAAGCTGGTCCTTCTCTGAGCACCCTCACCAACCAGCTCTCTCTACATCACGCTTGTAACCATGCTGCCTTCCCAGCACCAAGCTGCACTGTACATCCAATACAACATGTATACAGAGAGCACATTGTGAGTTTCCTTTCTCCATCCCATCCTGAGTGTGAACCAATAACCCGTACCCCACATCAGCATTGGAATGAGGCAGTTAGCACTGTCAAAGCTAACTCACAGAGGTCACTTTTACTTTTATCCTCTTCGCCACTGATCGGCTTGTTAGCCGCTTGGGCGATCGGTCACGACTCTTTTCCTTTATATTCTTCACCAAAAGGTCGGCTCGCTAGCCGCCCGGGCGATCGGTCACGTCTCTGTCACGCACTGTTGGCAAATACTGGGCATGCACCGGCTCCTGAATGTACCTGAACCCGCTCCAGTGTTGGTCAAGTCTTCTCTTGAAAGAGCTCACACTCGGTGCCGTCACAACACTCTCTGGTAGATTGTTCCAAGAGTTTACAACCCTCACTCCGAAAAAGTTTGCCCTCACGGTTTTCCGGACTTGCGGCTTCTTCAATCTTGAGCTGTGACCCCTTGTGGGGCGAGCGTCCGCCAGCTCCAAGTAAGGACACTCAACTGAGTAGTGCCCCCTGAGATGCTTATAAACCTCAACTAGGTCCCCCCTTGCCCGTCTGTAGTATAAGCTAGGCAAGTTCAGGCGCTCCAATCTCGCAGGGTAGCTGAGATGCCGAAGTGCAGGCACCAGCTTGGTGGCCCTCCTTTGAACATTTTCAACCAACTGACAGTCCCTAGCATATCTCGGGGACCAGATGGGGTGACAGTACTCCAGATGGGGAAGCACTTCACTCCTGAAGATCGTCACGAGGGACGGACCGTCTAGATATCTGAACGACCTTCTTATAAGACCCAATAATTTATTTGCCTGATTTACCTTCTTCTCACAATGGCCCGAGAACTTCAGCTCATTGTCAACATACACACCTAGGTCCTTCTCACACACAGTCTCAACTAGTACATTTTCTTCATCCCGTTGGGACATATGGTACGCCTCCTTACCGTTGGTACGCCCCAGGTGCATCCTCTTACACTTCGTGACATTGAATCTCAGCAGCCATTCCTTCGACCATTCCTGGAGCCCACAGAGGTCCTTCTGCAGCTCTTCACAGTCCGCTTGGTTCTTAATTTCCCGAAATAACTTGGCGTCATCGGCAAACATTTGTATGGAGGAGTGTACAACGTCAGGCATATCATTTATGAAACAAACAAACAACAGCGGGCCCAATACACTACCCTGCGGTACCCCACTTGTTACAGGTACAGATGACGATTTCGTGCCATTAATCACCACACATTGCTTGCGGTCATGTAGAAAGTCTTCTATCCACGCTAGGACATTTCCCCGAATTCCGTACCCTTCCAGTTTGATTTTCAGCCTTTCGTGGGGTACACTGTCGAAAGCCTTGGCAAAATCTAGGTAAATATTGTCGATATTACCACCCCGTTCTAGAATATGGGTCCAAATATCCAATACCTTGAGCAATTGTGTCAAGCAAGAGCGCCCCGGCATAAAACCGTGTTGGCAATCTTTTACAAGGTTGTTTCGTAGTAGATGTTCCATCGCTGCATCTCTGATAATACTCTCAAGTACTTTACATATTATGCTGGTCAGGCTCACCGGTCTATAGTTGTTCGTGGAGTGCCTATCGCCCTTCTTGAAGATAGGACTCACATAAGCCACTTTCCATTCACTGGGGACCATTTGTTCATCCAGGCATTTACAAAACAGAATCTTCAGGGGCTCTGCAAGCTCGTTGCACAGCTCCCTTAGCACTCTAGGATGCACCATGTCAGGTCCAGGACTCTTATGGACCTTTAGCCTGGACAGTTTATTTCTAATACCCTCTTCTGTGAACACAATGTGGGTCAGTGCTGTGTCGAACCGTCTGTCCTCAAACGCAGGAAGGTTAGTTGCATCCTCTCTTGTGAACACTGAGGAAAAGAAGCTGTTCAATGCCTCAGCTTTATCCTGGTCAGAATCTGCGTAACTACCATCTTCAAGCCTCAGGTCTGATACTCCTACTCGCGTTTTCAATTTCGACTTTGCATAGCGGTAAAACGCCTTTGGGTTTGACTTGACCTCGCGTGCAACCAGCCTTTGGAACTCCTTTTCAGCCCTCCTACACTCTATCTTGCCGGTAATGAAGAGTTTTTGCCCAGAGTCCTACGGTGTCCTCCACTGGAACTCAATGAGTGTAATAATTTCATCACCATCAACAAAAACTTTTGCTCATTCCAGTATTCCATGCTTTATTGATTTTAGGCATTCACTAGAACTCACAGATGATATTGACTGTAAAACTTGGACATTGTCTGGCAAGCGTTGACGAAGCTGTTTCACCAGCTGCACTCCAAACTGTATCTTCCACGAATATCCTTTTCATTCGGAAACTTGCACTGTGACGTCTGCTTTTCAAACTCATAACCTAGGAAAGTTGTAGTGGATTTCTCCCCTACAAACGCTGTTTGTCGCCGACCCACTCCACAAAGTAACAGAGACGTGACTCATCGCCCAAGCGGCTAACGAGCCGATCAGTGGTGACGAGGATAAAAGTAAAACTAAGTAGTTATGTTCTAAATCTCCTTTTAATTTCTTTCGAGGAATGTGAACATTTGAACTAATGGCATAAAAAAGATGAACAAGGTCACTTCAGGTTCAAGCTGCTTATTTACAGTTGAACTTGTCCAAAACTTTAAATAGAGCCGAGCTATGTAACACCGTTCATCATTTCTTACAATTTTACATTAAGATATTCTTTATAATATCTGAAAACTCCCACCAATTGAAAAAGCACCAAATTTGGTGTTAGATGTAAGAACAACGCTAAGGCGGCGCTAGATAAGGCAGACAATTGCTAGATGAAGCATGCTAAGCGCTAAATTGGCAACGCTGTGTCCGTTTCCTCTGGAATCTTCTACAATTTACACACTTTTATTATATAATTTACTAATATATTTATAATCTAATGCAATATTTGTTCTTAATTCATTTCATTTTTTGTCCATTGATGTTCAAAATTAATGTTAAATTGGGGAAAGTAATAATATGATTAAATCCGAACACAACAACAACAACAGTGTTTGAGGACCTGCAAGACCACCTGTAGACCTGGCGACCTGTAGACCTGTGACGACCTGTAGACCTGTGACCACCTGGCGACCTGTAGACCACCTGTAGACCTGGCGACCTGTAGACCTGGCGACCTGTGACCACCTGTAGACCTGTGACCACCTGTAGACCTGTGGTAACAACTAACACCTGTGACGACCTGTAAACCTGGCGACCTGTGACGACCTGTAACATCCTGTAGACCTGTAATCCTGTGACGACCTGTAAACCTGTGGTAACAACTAAGACCTGTGACGACCTGTAGACAACAACTAAGACCTGTGACGACCTGCAAACCTGTGGTAACAACTAAGACCTGTGACGACCTGTAGACCTGTGATAACAACTAACACCTGTGACGACCTGTAGACCTGTGATAACAACTAACACCTGTGACGACCTGTAAACCTGTGACGACCTGTAAACCTGTGGACGTGACGACCTGTAGACCTGTGATAACAACTAAGACCTGTAGACCTGTGACGACCTGTAAATCTGTGACGACCTGTAAACCTGTGACGACCTGTAGACCTGTGATAACAACTAAGACCTGTGACGACCTGTAGACCTGTGACGACCTGTAAACCTGTGACGACCTGTAGACCTGTGATAACAACTAAGACCTGTGACGACCTGTAGACCTGTGGTAACAACTAAGACCTGTGACGACCTGTAACATCCTGTAGACCTGTGACGACCTGTAGACCTGTGACGACCTGTAACATCCTGTAGACCTGTGTGTGTATACTTTAAGAGATGGGGCTGAAGAAGATGGTCCAGGGTGGCCTCACATCATACCTGTACTCAGACGGACTCAACCAGGCAGACCAGATTAAGGTCATCATCTTGAGCAAAAATGAATCATTCTCGTTGAAGGTACGTTAGAATTATAGTTTTTTAATCGGTTTTTATGCTTTTTGAACGACTTCCAAATAGGTGCACGACCGAAATGATTATTTTCTCCTAACCTAACCTAACCAACCACACTGTCTTGACACCTTCATCCTGTAGATTAGAACATTTATAGTACAGTATACAACAGTTGAGAGAATGGTTCATTTTAACCAGCTTCCTAATGAATAATGTCTATAGAATAAAACTTATTTGTAGTGGATATAGGTTAGGTTAAGTTATGTAAGGTTGAAATTATGGTTTTCTTTTTTGTGTGTGTGTTTTGAACAATTCTGACCATTGGAAAAAATGTGCATGACCGAAATGTTAATTTTACCTTCTTTTTAATGTCAGGAATATACCCCAAAAGGACAAGAATTAGCAATATTTGTTATACTTTGTTAGTTTGACAATACACAAAAATATTTCTCAGCGTCATTTTTGTACACACGAGCGGTTCCGTCTGATCAGAGATAAAGATGAACCAATAAAACCTACTGTAGCCATCCTAAGATAAAGTAGTCGTAATTGGCTTCATATAAGAGTCATGACCACAGTACAGTACTTTATTACCTGTGATGACTGAAGGCTGTCCTTGGTCAAATTGGCTGTGAAGTTACTGTACTTTATGTTGGAAACTGTATACTATACTGTACCTCTCCTGTATATGTTCACTGTATACCTACATGGTCTATAATAAACCTTTATGATAATTTTTCTGACTAAATATTATTAGAATTATATTGTTTCAGTTGTCGACAAGCGATGACTCAGTGATTAAATGGAGCCACAACATCCAGAAGACGCCCCGGGAATACTTGTGTCTTCTCAGTAAAGCTGTTACTACCTCCTTCACCACCACTGATAAAGAGGATATATTTGAGATCCAGGAAGATCATTTTGTGTGGAAACAATATTTTCCAGATTTGAAAGTGTACGGTAAAAGAGGAAAATTTAAACTTGAAACAGTAAGTCCATTTGAAGATAAACATTCACATTTTCAGGCTATTTTCATCTTGTCTTTTATTTTGTCAATTTTTCAATGTAGATATAAAGTGCAGTACAGTATTACTTGGCTTTATTTTTTTAAGTACATACAGTACTTCATATCAACTTTTACGTCATTTTACTGTCGTGTTTATATATTGATTCATTCACTAATATAACAATGTTTCTATTCCTATACAGTACAGTATTTCATTAGTACTTGTATCAGTTAATCTTGCCATTTTCCTTGTGGTCTCTATAAATCTTTCACATTCCATATACTACTGTACAGTAGAGGAATACCTCCCTGTTCACAGTTGATATTTTAACACTAATATTCACACAGCATATACCGGTACCACTTATTCACAATGCAAATTAGAAAACAATAATGTCAGTGAAGATGACATGTTTCTAAGAAAAATGAAGTGTGTGTGTGTGTGTATGTGTGTGTGTGCTTGTGTATGTGTGTGTATATGTGTGTATGTGTGTGTATATGTGTGTGTATATGTGTGCTTGTGTGTGTGTGTATATGTGTGTATGTGTGTATATATGTGTGTGTATATGTGTGCTTGTGTGTGTGTGTATATGTGTGCTTGTGTGTGTGTGTATATGTGTGTGTGTATATGTGCATGTGTATGTGTGTGTGTGCTTGTGTATGTGTGTGTGTGTGTATATGTGTTTGTGTGTGTGTGTGTGTATATGTGTTTGTGTGTGTGTGTGTATATGTGTGTGTGTGTATATGTGTGTGTGTGTATATGTGTGTAATAATAATAATAATAATTAATGGTTTATTGAAAAAATTCTGCGGCCCGAAGGCTGAAAATATACATTGGACATAAATGACTTATTACATACATTGGTGGTTTAACAAAAGCCTTCATTAGAGAAAGGTAAAGGAACATACAGATTAATGTAGGTGTTGAACAGCAAACACGTAGTGTAGTAACTCCCTCCCAGATGGTGTTAGGAGGAACTCACGTGGTGTAGTAGTTCCCTCAGATGGTGTTATGAGGGACCTGACGTGGTGTAATAATTCCCTCGCAGATGGTGTTATGAGGGGCCTCACGTGGAGTAGTAATTCCCTCACAGATGGTGTTATGAGGGGCCTCGCATGGTGTAGTAATTACTATGCAAACAAATATTTTTTAAATGTACAGTACTTTGCATAGTAATATTACAATAAATAGTACAGTAATAAATAAATGTAACACTTACATTGTGAGGTGAGTTGATAATATGTACATGATATTCCACAAGTGTAATGATCTTACTGGTAAATAAAGTAAAACCCCACATTGGAGAAATAAGACAATACGTATATCGGAGCTGATATAACATGTGTGTTTGGGATCCTGTCTGCTGAATAAATCATCTGATGTTACCCAAATAAAATATTAAAAGTGTCGTCCCTGTAGTGATTTATTAACAACAAGACTTAACAGTTTAAGAATCATCACCAGTATTGTCTAGAGGTACGACTCGTTTATTTTATTGCAGCGAGTCACTCGGTTGTGGTCGTCTTAACCATCATTACTGTATAACTATCCAGTTTTACACCACACTAAGCAGAAACAAAAAACTAATTATCTCAATCATTTTGTTTTATCACTTATACAGATAGAATATGATGATGCTGTTGGTAAGGTCTTGGATGGAGCCATACAAGAACTGAAATCTGACTCACAGTGCATCCAGACTCTAAAAGAAGAATCACAAAAGATGTCTAATAGTAAGTGAGTTTGACAAGTAATTCTTATGTTTTTGTTTGATAATATCATATAATACATTATCTCCACCTGCCCGTGCACTGTACTATAGAAGGTCAGATACTAAACCTCTTGGTGGTTCATATGTTGCTTTGTAGTTCCTCATTTGTACAGTGTTTCACCCTGACCCTTTTACCTAGGCTTTGCTCACTCCTTCATCTATGACGTCTCAGGTGAACATCAGTTTGAATAGATTATTTTCTTAATGTTGTTATGTATAAAAGTTATTATGACTAATGCCTGATATAGTTTGGCAGAATTAGTCTAGAATAAATAATAATAATTCATATTTTGTCAATTTGATGAAGGATAGCCGACAAAGCCATGAAATGCTTATCTCGAGGATTATGCCAACAACGTGTAGTGTTGCACAGTGGTCACCTGTACGAGTACTGTACCAACCATACCCAACGTTGCTTAATTTCATTGATCGGATGAGAAGCGGTGTTTCTGTCTGGCCTTGGTAGAATGTAATGTGATGTGATGAATGAAATAGTACAAGGAATGATACCACAACCCCAGGACATTTTGAAACGCACTTCTGACACTTTTTCACGACATAAAATGTTAAATGAAGCATCTCAGATATCTTTACCAGTCTTCCATTATTGTGGGGTTGGCTACGGGACACTGAAACCTTTAAGATAAGGGGGAAATAATGCAAGAGAACAACTGTAGAAGCCAATAGAGCAGGACTAAAATAACACATATACTGTACTCAATAACAGTTGGTAATAATAGCAAGTGTTCTCACCTTCTGTAGGAGCTCTGTGTTATGTTATTAGCTGCATCAGTCAGCTCTATGAATACCAGTAAGGTTGAACTCACTGAGAATCATTTTAAACTGTTCACGGAGTTGCTGACTAATCATCATTACATTTGTTTACACTTGTTATTTTTGTTAAGACAGTTTTTCCTATACTCAATAAATCCATAAATAAAAGAATAATTAATGTACAGTGATCCCTCGGTCAACGAATTACCTTCCATAAGATTCTTAACTTCGGTTAACGAGCAATCCCTCGATTAACGAATTCCTTACGAGCGCCCCTCAACATGTTTTTGCTTGCACACTAGCTCAGTAATCGGTTCTAGGGCTTAAATTCCTTACTATTTTCGTGAATATCAATACATTTGTACTATTCAATAATTTTAAAAGTCTTATATTAAATTTTTTAGTCAGTTTAACAATTATTTAACATAATTTAAGTACAGGGAAACTAGTTTTTAGCGTGCCAAACAGCCTGTCAACACACCAGACTCTCTTCAAAATAAATGCTTTTTTCTGTGTTTCCAGTCAAATTATTGGTCATTTTGAAATTTATTTTACATATTGACAATATATAATGCAGTGCAGTGTTGATTTAAAGAAAATAATCTTGAATTACACCAAGTGAACTAAAATTTGATGGGTGAAATGGTGCCATGGGGTGACTTCTCTTCCACCCCAATGACTTCTCTTCTTCCTTCTCCTCCACCCCCATTCTAATTCCCATCATCATCATCCAGGAGCCTTCTACATACACACCTCAAAGTAAGTGTACTTTACTACCTTTTTTGTTGACTTTAGGCAATTTTCGGTGAGCTGGAACCAATTACCCAAAAACCCATTGAAACAATGGTTTCGGTTAACGAGCAACCTGCTGGAACGAATTGTGCTCGTTAACCGAGGGACCACTGTAATGAATACTGTTCTGTACTCACCATATATATTGTGCTTTAACATACAACAAAAAAGTATGGGAATTTTTTCTGCTGATGACTAAATGCCGATAGTTTTGTAGAAGCTGTGGAAAAGATTGAAAAAAGATGAATGTTGTACAGTAGTGTAAATGTATCTCTCAGCGTCCTGGGTGGCCAACTTGACAGCTAAATGTTTGCATTCTTGAACTAAAAGTGTTAAAAAAGACAAACATCACTACAAAATAGCTAACAGTACAGTACAATATAGGTCTACAGTACAGTTATTCTCAGGTAACTCACCTATATATGAGTACAATATAGGTCTACAGTACAGTATAGGTCTACAGTACAGTACAGTTATTCTCAGGTAACTCACCTATACAGTATATGAAATGTGTCCAAAACTACATATTTTGTTTTTCAGAAGTGAATGAAGCTGTGGACATGGCATCAAGGAGCGTCTTAATGAAGGAAGAATTTGAGAGGGAGATATATAGCAAGTGTGCTGCCATCATTAATGCCAAGAAACTCAGAATACAACAACTAAAATCCAGCCATCCAACTAGCTCAGGTTAATGGAAAGAAATAATTGTTTTTACAATAACTTGAGAAAAACTTAATAGATCAATGAGAATTATTGTTTCTAACTTTAAAAATAAATATCAAAACTAAATAATTTATAACTTTATTTATCAGTTCATTTTATTTAATTTTTTATATAATTTCCGCCACTTATCAGTATTTGGGCGCTCTATCCAGTGTTAGTACAGGAGGGGACTGGGCACTGGGAACCACTTGGAATATTTTTTTGGTTGGGTATATGACCTCATGTGGTAGTGTACAGTAGGTTTGCTTCTCATCCTCACACAGTTCTCTTCCTTATGTTGTTTGAGTCACATCCAGGGAGGAGTTACTCAAGGTTTCATTAAGTTATCTCGCACTGATATAGATTGTGACAGTTCTTAGTCACTTTTATTCTTTAAGTTGTCTCTTGCTCTCTGTGTGGTCCTCTGTGAAAACTCTCCTGAAGCAGTTAACTTAATAAACCCCATAGTTAATCTTTTGTCTCGTATATAGAACTGAGTTACCCATCAGTGATAAAGTATACATATAATTCCAATTCTATATGACTGCCAGAATATTATATTTACATGTTTAAAGTGAAACAGGCCATAGATCACTCCCTCATAAAACAACAAGAGAAACACACAGTACAGTACACTGACAGCAAGTGAGAGAATCCTCAGTCATGGACCCCACAGAAGGAAGCTTTCTAGGTATAGTGGAGATAATAAGTGAGTGGATTGATCTGTTCTGTAAGGAAACTCCAAACTTACTGCATCACATTACACAAATCTACACACAACACAAATAATCAGCCAACAGAGTTGAAACAAAAACCTTACCTGTACTTCACAAACTGACAACACTGTCTAGGTTAATCCAGGGTGTCCATTAGCTACTTCACTTATCAAGGTTCCTTTTCTGCTTAACTAACTAACTTACAAGTCTTTCGCCCTTAATGATAGGGAAAGCTTTCTGACCGAAGTGATTGGAGTGGATACTGAAGAATAACAACAACTCAAGTATTAGGTTGGAGTGTGACTGAGGCAGATCACACAGCTGGTATGTATTGAGGACTCAGTAGACAGATGGTGGAGGTGCTGTCTGACACACCACAAAGACTAATAGAGATATAGACCAATAATTTCTATATACTTTCTTTTATCTTTACCTGATTTCTACACAAGTTTTATTATTACAAGTCTAATGTTTACTTTGTCTGTCTGTCACTTTATATTACATAAATGTGATCCATTGTATAAAGAACCTTGAACATGCCTCCGAGTTGTTCACATCCTTAACATACCAGAATATTTTTATACTGTACCTCAGTTGGGGTTTCCATTTTGAAGCTCTGCCACTGGCCAAACTAACTGAGCTGAATGACATTTGGGTGAACTCCAATACTTACTGGAAAAAGAGGTAATTTACATAATATAAAAATAAATTGTGTAATGTGATGTAGTTTGTTGTACAGGTAACATCAGGTAAGTCACAGTTCTTTAATTCCCAGCCTCTAAATCTTCCTTGGCCTGGAAACACTTAATGTGGAATGTGCTTTAATTAAGTGATTATATATTGAACTTCATAATAATTTTCCCTTTTCTTACATTCAGTTGGTAAACCCTGTGGCCTTGTTAGGTCTGCTGAGACGTCGGGCTCAGCCGCTCGGCCACCCAAGAAAGCGCGACTTGAGAACAGCGACAGTGATTGTTACGACTCGGACACTGACGTAGACGAGCCCGACGAGGACACGGACGAGGAAAATCTTGCTCGCCTCTCACCGTCCAAACAGAGACACGAGGCCAACTTTAGTGCTGAAGCCAAAGCACCAGCTGTTGTCTCAGATTCACAGGAGTGTTTTAATGACAGTCTGGAAGCTGAGTTGTACCCCACTGCAACTACAAGTAAAAGGCCAAATTTTTCCTCCAAATCATCTGTTGTAAGTAAAAATGATACCAAAGGCTCACAGCGAGGTAAAACTAACAAGTGTGGGACATCAAGTGTAGCGTCACACACCTCAAAACAATCTCGCGTACCAGAAGACAATAATCAAAAGTCTATCATTGATGAGCTCTTTTAGTGGAGTTCTTTAAATGTTTTTCAGTTTGGTAATCTTAATGTTAACAGTTTGAGGTAATAATGTTATACCAATGTTGGATGTGTATTATGAGGAGGGGCCATGTTGTGGGTACAGTACAGTATGTTAAAGTATCTAAAATATATTTGTTATTTTACCACAAAAGTACTTTACTAGTTACCCTTGTTATTAACTAACATAGGAACATAATATAATATATATATATATATATATATCCATTTTAATGTATGTAGAGTATTTATATATGAACTTTGCTCCCTTGGCCTACAAGATATAGTAGTAATGGTACAGTACAAAATTGTGTCTAGGAGTGTTCTTATTGATACAACCAAATTAATTAACTAATGAATATATATACTGAACACCTTTTTTATTTAACATACCAAAGAATATGGGAGGCAATATGGAAGAGTATAGTTGTGTCCGTCCCTTAGTACATATTGTTTCCGGTCAGTAAGTTGAGAAAGACACAACAGATCTAGAGACTATTTGGCCTACATCTTGAGGCAGTATAGTCCTGCATAATGAATAACTAATTGACATAAATTAGGTTTAACATCGATAGTGTTTCAGGATGATAAGTCACTAAACTTGTAAATTTAATGAGTAAAATGATATGTGAAATACTACCTATGTGTTACAGTATTTATACTTTTAATTTACATACAATCCTTTAATTCATTAAACAATCAGTAGACCTTTAATGAATGGTGAAATATGAACAGGAAAACTTTAAGAGGCAGCAACATCTATTTTACTTAACTTTCTCTTTACACTCACAGTGCTGTAAGGTATAATAAAATATTCGGTCACAGTTCTAAATATCCAGTACGGCGATATCCCCGTGAGCCGGAATATTTGGTGCAGAGCTCTTCTGGGCGCGAGAGATTTCCGGGAACGGAGACAAATTTTCTCTTCCCGGAAAAAATTGCACATCCCTGGTATGTTTCCGGGTGGTGGGGAGAGTTTCCCAAGTCTAAACTACACAGACAGACACAGTGTTGTATTTAGTTACACCAACACAACTGTACACCAGCAGAGGCTGTCATCTTGAGCTGATGATGCAGGCAGACCAAATGGTGATACAGGATGATGGCCTGCCTTTGTCCTGTACTGTAGCAGGTGTTACTCCGTCCATGAAGGAGGGATCGTACACACACACTAGCCTACAGCAGACATACACTATCCACTCTGCTATGTACTGTACTTTCACACTTACTGAATGTACAGTACAGTATATATAACTGTGATAATTGTTTCATGTTAACACTATTCTTGGCTGATTGTGTCCTGGTACAATAATGTACAGTACAGCTTAACACAAACTGTATGCAAGAACAGCAGGAAGCGAGGGAACAACCTTGTACATGTATAACGGCAGCACAATATATACCAAGTGCCTTAAGTTACCCAAGCAGCTAGCCGACCCAGCACACGGGAACTCATCAGAGCACGATGCAATCTCTCGGAACTCCCCGAAAATATGTTCTCACGCCCAGGACGGACAGATTTTCTCGGAATTTTTCTGTAAAATGCGCAAGATTTCATCCTCGGAAAATTGTTGCCGTGCCCGGAATGGAGATAGTTTTCCCAGAAGGCTCAAAATTTATTCCAGCTATTAGAGAATTGTGGAGACCAAATATTGAGGCTAACAAGAGGGAGATTACTGTAAACACAACCAGTGGTGACCAAGACCCAAGTGAACTACACCAACAAGTGTGGACGGGTTAAACAGTACATATCTTTACACACACAGATATATGAACACTCGGTAAAAAAAGTATCTTTCAGGAAGGGTCTGATGAATTTGGGGCTGAACACTAGGGTTGGTAGATGTGATTGTGAGACATTTTCTACCTATTATAGTAGACCTAATTTAGTTATTTAATTTAAAATATAAAGTTAGTTTGTTGCATTATGATGGTGAATAACAGTGTGCCTCATGAGCCTTTATCAAGAACCTTCATTCATAAGGTGTTATTTTGTTTAGCACAAGCATTGTAAATAGTGATATATCCATTAGCCTGAACAATTGGTCAAGAGCACTTCTGGGAATGAGAGATTTCCGGGTAACGAGGCGACTCTCTCAAAGCTGGAAAAAATCCCCCATCCCCAGAATTTTCCGGGTGCTGGGAAAAATTTCTCGGAAATTTCCCCAAAAACGTGTCCCTCGGAAAATCCTCCCCAGAGGCAGAATTTTCTGGAGAATTCCAGCTTCGGGAATGATTTTTTAGAAAATTTCAATTCTGGCCGTCGAAGAGTTTCGGGTTTGAGGGATTCCGGCTAACAGAGATATTACCGTATAGTTTTTTACCGAGCGTACTTAAGTTCACATAACATTTAGCAATTGGTATCTTTATAAAAGGTACATATCATCGAATATGTACAGTACGGTAGATTGAACAGGCACTGACTGTATGTAATTTTGGGTCATTAATCATGTGTAAATTATAAGTGTAGTAGAGTGTTAACATAAAGGTACATAACTGGTCTAGTAACAATGGCAACTGAGTTATTGTTGTCACTCCTCTTGTTATTTATCACAAGAAAAAGTACATGTACGAACAACAGTTTGGTCTAGTGTGGTACAGGTACTTCTTCTCTTCTGTCAGTACAGTATATCTGTCTTATAACATCTTTTACCGTATTAACAATTCTCCCAAATTTGTTTTATATGTTTCAAAGGAACAATCTTTGAAGTGTTAAATATTCAATTCATGTACTACACCCAACAAAAAAGTATCTGCACCTTTTTGCCGTCAAACAATACAAAACAATGAACTAAAAATTCTTAAGTCCTGGGGCCTAAGCCACTGTTGACACACCGAGTCACCATGCAGTTGGACGGCACAGTTGTGGAGAGCGCCGATGGACGCCCGAGTAGAGTCTGACGTCTCCTTTCCTAATTTGTTGCCGATATAATTTATGGCCAATGACAGACAATATTCCACCTTCCTTCTTACCTACAGAAGGGTGAGCTTTGCCATGTCTCAAAGGTAGAGTTCAAAATACCTTTAAATAAATGTAAAAATATAGAAACATACATTACACATGTGTAGTCAACTTCATTACCGCTTCCTGTCATTAATGCATGTTCCCATAAGGCAACTCATCCCCACAGTTGATTGATAAAGTTCTCAATGTTCGTTAACCAAATATATTATACAGACTGTGTTGTTTTCAAGCATGTCTACTGGAACATATTTACCACTGTCGATATCCAGAAGAGCTAACAGGATATTACAGAGATACGTCTCACAATCATGCTTGCCAACCCTACCGAGACAACAGGAGGCGCAGCAGCAGCACTCAAACTGAAAACCATCAATCCCAGGGGTACAGATACTTTTTTTGGTGGGTGTATGACTGCACATGTAATACTGTACAGATATGTTGATACACTAATACAGTATTGTATTTTCTTAATTAAAAGATAATGTTGTTGTTCTTCACTATTGATTTTTATTAGATGTTTGAGTTTCTACTTTGTGATTTTCTTTGACCTTTTGTTGTGTTGGAGATATATGAGCGGGCAGACACTGACACTCCCTGAAGGCCACTACTGTGCTTCTGACATGTTACCTGGGTGGCTAATTGTCCACCCAGGTAAATATATCACCCAGCTACTCCACAAAATCTGAGCATATTTATAAGGAAGTATTTTGGGTCTTGAGAGGAAGGATAAACCTACTTGTACAAAATATGGCAGGTGTTAATAGTGGACATCCTTTTCTTTGAGAATCCTTCATCCTTACCTAACCTAACCCAAGCACTACAGTGACTACCACTAAGTTAATTTGGCCAATGTTACCAAATGAGATTAATGTTTTAAGGTAGTTTATTTTGTTATTATTTATCTTGCCCAATAATGGACTGATAATCGATAGCCCAAGTTAAAAAACAAAACAAAACTATTCTCACCTAACTTAACCTAACCACTAAATCTGTCTTAGAAGTATTCTTGCGATAACGATAATAAATAAATAACACTCGGAGATATATCTACGCTACCCACCATTATACTGTACTGGCAACATTCAACAACAATAATTTATCCAGTTTGTTCATTGTTGCGAGCCTTTACCTACTACAGTACAGGGTGGCTACAGTGACTCTACCTTATAGAGTACTGTACTGTACTGTAATGGTTAAATAAAGTAATACCTCTAGTGTTTAAAGAGTAAGGGATCAACATCATGTTCTTCATTAAATAGCTCACTTTGATCCCTTAACATACTATTTCTGGTAGTTCCTCTTACACCTATGGAATAAGTAGATGGCGCTGTAGTCTTCAGGTCCGGCCTTTCATCGACATCGACCCAAAATGCAGTGTTGTACACCCGCCGGGCCTTTTCCGCATCCGCCACATTAGCGTGGTCATAGACACACTGCAACAGAAAGATTTAAAGACATTAAATAACAGTCAACTTCTTATATTGCTTTACTGTATATAAATTTCAGTACTGTATACCTGAACTGTATCCAAAAAGAAAATGACCCATTGGTTCCACCATACATGAATATATAAGGCATGTACTGTACTGTCAGTCACACCATAAACTTTTGGCCCTTCAGTGTTAAACAATATGAGACACTGGCAAAAAATTCTGTACATAGTTCTCGCACCTGACTTAACACTGGTAGCCCTTATATAGGAACACTTGGAGCTACCAGTGACACTACAGGTACTATACCCATTCCTGTCACCTCTCATAATGAAATTTTATTTTCTGTGTAATCCCTGGGTGGACACCTTTACACTGTGTGACCAGGTGGAACACCTCCCCTTACATCTTTATCAAGATGATCTTGTTGCTCAGATCAACGCCTCTGACCATGAAGGACACTACAGTCCTCTAGTGTAAACAAGTACAGTACAATACAGTGCAGTGCAGTACTGTAACATCAAATCCTTTTTTGCTAACTTTTTAAAATGGAATTTGTTCTGTTTGAAGTTGAACTCATTACAATGGTGTTGCAATAATTCACAAGTTAGGTGCCAGAAGATTTCATTATAATATTGTGAATTATAGTTTAATTGATTTAAATGGAAATTATTAGCTTGGTTCTAGAAGCCAAAAAACACCGGCAGTATACGTGCATCCATTGTTCTGTGAAATGGCTTCCGCCGGACCACCGCCACCAGAGAGAAACCTTTCCTTACCTGGACCCAGCCGCCCTAAGCCAAAGAAGATACGCCGTTCCCTAAGCTACGAAGTGAAATACCAGATAATTCAAGATTTGGAGAAAGGAACATGTCAAGCTGATCTCGTGTGCCAGCATGGAGTCAACGAATCTACGATTCGTACTATTAAGAAGGATGCAGCCAAGATCAAAGAGCACATGAGAATCACAAAGTCTGCAGGTGCCTCAATGATCAAGTATTGCCAGAACAAGGTGCTGCTAAAGGTGGAAAATTTGCTGGTGAGTTACTTGATTCGTCAGGCGCGACGCAACATGGCGGTGGACACGCGATCCGTTCAAGAGTACGCACGTGAACTGTATGCAGCAGTGTCACGTAAGATGGGAATTGCAGAGCCCAAACCCTTCAATGCTTCCTCTGGTTGGCTGCATAGGTTTAAGAGGAGGAACAATATCACCAACATCAACATTGGTGGTGAAGAAGCGAGTGCTGACCGTGTGGCGGCTAGAGATTTTCCTCCGTTCTTACGTGAGGTTATGGAGGAAGGGCGGTTCACTGACGACCAGGTGTTCAACATGGACGAATCCGGCCTATTTTGGAAAAAGCTGCCTACCAAGACCTTTGTTGTCCAGTCTGCCAGCAAGGTTCGGGGTCGGAAGTTGCAGAAGGAGCGCATCACCGTCCTCTTTACCACCAATGCCTCCGGTACCTGTAAACCAAAGTTATCGGTGATTCACACAGCCCGCAAGCCGCACGCCTACAAGAACGTGGACATGAGCAAGATTAATGTCCACTGGCTGACCGCACGCAAGGCGTGGATGTTCTCTGCACTGTCACTCTCCTGGTTTGATGACTGTTTCATTCCCGACGTGAAGAAATTCTGCGAGCAACAAAATGTTCCATTCAAGATTTTGTTGCTCCTTGACAACGCACCTGGACACTCGCCCCTACTTATGGATCGTCACCCCAACGTAAAAGTGGTCTTCCTTCCTCCCAACACTACGTCATTAATCCAGCCCATGGACCAGGAGTTGATCTGCAATGTGAAAGCTGCATACTCTGCAAAGAAGTTCAAGCTCCTGAACGACTCTACCAACACCAAGGATGAGTTGCGTAAGCTGGGTGACACCGACAGCGAGAGCAAAAGCGACGAGGACAAGGAACAAGAGATGGTGACTCAAGAAGTTCTCGTCAGACAGTTTTGGAAAAAATTTAACGTCAAACAAGCTGTAGACTTCTTGGTGGAGGCATGGGATCAGCTGTCTAAAGCTACGATTCATCACGCATGGAGGCATGTGTTGCATGGCATACCAGGTGAGAGGCGGAGTGAACCTGTGACTGGTAAGGTTCAGTCTGTGACAGTGGCATTGGACCTTGCAAGAGAAGCTGCGCACAGTATTACAGCTGAAGGCTTCTCCGAGACCACCAACGAAGACATCCTGGAGGTGATCAGAGATCCTGAAATGACTGCCGACGAGATGTTGGAAGATGATAACATCAGTGAAGAGGAAGGTGGTGCGTCAATCCCAGAAGAACACAAATTAACGCATAGTAATATTAAGGGTGCCATTGAGTGTGCAGAGAAATTAAAGCTCTTCCTTTCCAACGACCCTGACGATGACCGCTATGAAGTCTTCCATACTCGGCTGGTGCAGGCTATGGAGCCGTACATCAAGGTGTATCAAGACAACATCAACACTAGCCATCAAAAAAGCATTACCGAGTTCTTCGCCCGCAACCCACCACAGCCAGCCAGAGCCAGTGATAGTGACAGTGAAAGTGACTTTGAGGGATTTGTCAGGGAGGCCCTGACAACTATGACTGATAGTGATGGTGATTCACCTGAGGGCCAGTAATCTGCCCTCTGCCTCGGAACCAGCCTCCATCCCCGTATGCCGACTCATCTCTTCTACTAACATAAGTGTTACACCCAACCTTTAGTTTTCCTAACCTAACCTTTATTTTTCCTAACTTAACCTTTATTTTTCCTAACCTAACCTCTTCTATATTAATTGTGTGTGCATACCATCATAAAGTTAAGATAATATTTTTACTACAACATAGTTTTGTCGTCAAAAAGTGGAGTTTGGGGGTCGGGCCAGTCTCTACTTCAATTAATCCCATATGTTCTGTTGTTCACTTTACGCGGATTTTACTTTCCGCGGTACCCTGTGGGTTCAATTGACCGCGTAAAGTGAGGGTTACTACTGTATACAATATTTTATTTACCCGATGACTTAACTTATACTTTCATTTTCTGTATTTTGTCATTCTATTTATTCTTTTGTCTTAAATTAAGTGATTTTAGATGTATATAAGGACTTAGGCTATCATCACTATAAACATTGTTCTGCAGTACAGTGTGCACATAGTATGTGCTCTGACTTATGTACATTTTCGACTTAAGAAAGTCCGTAGGAATGGAGCTCGTATGTAACCCAGGGACTGCCTGTATTAATTTTGGTACCAAATTAATGACAAAGATCTTGTTTTATATATACAGTACCCTGTATATGGAGCAAGTAACGCGATCACTAGATTACAAGATGTTGTAACTGCTAGATTAAGGTTAGGATATAAGTACCTCTGGCAGTATGTTCCTCAAGCAGATGTGAACAAGACTAAATGTAAAGTGTGTGGCCAGACATATGGCCACACACTTGAACACTACGTCCTCGACTGTGTGAAGATAGAACCTTTTAAGGACAGGCCCAAGCACACTGTGTGTGAAATGGCACAACACTTCATCTCTAATGGCAAGATAGCCGACATATTAAGATTGTATCCACTTTTTTGCACTTAGTAACTATATCAGTTCTCATGTATAGAACCAAATACACAATGTGCTTGAATACTTCTCACGCAAATGTGAATAACAAAGTGTGCGGCCAGACATACTGCCTCACACGCCTGTACTTTTGTGAATAAGTTACCCTTTATGTAAAGAACTAAACAAATAATATAATTGAAATACTGTGTTACATTCAGTGCCATAATATCCTGACAATGGGGGTTAATTATTATGACCCGTTGTAAACTCTACTCTGTAATCCTTTTGCGCTACCGTTCGCAGTATGAGTGTGGGGTGCACAATAAACTAGCCGCTATGGCTGAAAAAAAAATTTTGACATGATTTCGTCCATCCCTGTCAACACCTACAAGATGGTGGCGGATGCATTCTGGGGCTTCCACCAGGTGGAGCTGGAGGAGCCCAGCCAGAAGCTGACAACCTTTATAACCCCATGGTACCAGTGCCTATACTAAGTGTTTTGATGATGCCATTGAGGGCATTCTGTGCAAGCAAAAGTGTGTAGATGACACCCAGCTCTTCAATGACAGCG